TTGGAAAAATTTTGAAACAACATTATTTTTAGTGGAGTCATAGTTACACATTCAAATCCTAAGAATTCTATGATAATAGCCTGGGTTTCTCCTTGTAAGTATAAGCTGGGCACAATTAGCAGTCTCCTGTTGTAACTTTTCCCCTGATGACTTTTTCTGCTCTAAACTTTCTTCCTCTGTCTGACTAGTTCGAGAGACCTTCTCTTTTAAAGACCAGGAAAGGACAAGCTGCTTTGCATAATGGAGGACTGAGGAAAGAGCAGATAGTATTGGGCTTCTGACAATTGGCTAACTTCTTTCTTGCCACCTTAGAGGCATTTGCTACCCTCTCTACTACCAGCTGGCAGGGCTGGCACCAACCTCTGGTATATAGACAGTGACTCATCGTATTAAGCTAATTTGCCCTGGTCTGTAATTTCCCCCAGATGAAGGGAAGGGAAAGGAAATAACTCTGGGAAGAATTCCTCCAGATCCTAGGCTTAATATAAGCACACCTATTTAAGCTCAGTGGGAGGTAGTTATATGGAATTGGACATATAATTAATGAGAGCTAGGTTTGAATCCAGGTTCTGCTCAGCTCTGTCACTTGTCTCAAAGAAAATGAGGGGAGTGATACTGAATGATATTGCCTCTATTGAATTCTTGATATGTTAATGTAGTGTTTAGATACCTTGTTTATTTCATCTTTAGAGCCACCACTTGAGACAAGTACTAGTGTTTCTATGAGAACTAGAAGTGACAAAAAGCATCAACAGGTAGTAGTATAGGAAGCCTCTGGCACAATAGCAGATATACATGGTTCTGTAATGCTGACTTCCATTTCTATTTTAGTGGTACTAGGAATTGAACCAAGGAGTGCTTTACCACTGAGCTATATCACCAGCCTCCTCCCTTCCTCCTTTTTTTTTTTTTTTCCTTTCTCAATTTTTAACTGAGTTGCTAAGACTAACCTCAAACTTGGGATCCTCCTGCCTCAACTTCTCAACCCCTAAGTCTTAAGAATTGTAAGCATACACCACCACAACCAGCAGTTTCCTTCTCTGTGATTCACGTGTATCTTAGACTGCCTACCCAGAGGCTGTGGCTGTTTTGTTCCTTCTGTATGTTACATGTTGATCACAGACTTAGACATAGGTGTGTTACTGAATATGACTGACAGAATCCTGCAGGCTTCCTGGATAGGTAGGTGAGCTGGTTCTTTACACCCATTCATCTTTAGGTCCTTTGTCACAGATCCACCTTGATTGCCTTTTGCTTCTCATCCATGAGGCTTTTAAGACCAGAGTCTCAATTTCCTAATTCTTCTCTTGATAGGAAGCACCGGAGAGCACGAGACCGGTCCAGGTCTTCCTCCTCCTCCTCCCAGTCATCTCACTCCTACAAAGCGGAAGAGTACCCTGAGGAGGCAGAGGAACGAGAGGAGAGTGCCACAGGCTTTGACAAATCAAGACTGGGGACCAAGGACTTTGTGGGTCCAAGTGAAAGAGGCGGTGGCAGAGCTCGAGGAACCTTTGTAAGACCTTCCCCTTCTCTGAGCCTCTGACTCCCACCAGTTCTGAATAGGTTTCTTCAGAATACCAGTTTTGTATCTCTGATAGAAGCAATCCAGTTTATAGACCGCAGATTCTTTAGTTTTCATACCTAATTCCTCATGCTTTCCATTTAGTTTTGCTGTTCATAATCAGTCAGAAAGCCCCATAGCTTCCCATTTCAGAACTTCCCCCACTTACTTTGGATCCTTCTGTTTCTGGGAGCCCTGGGCCATGTGTATCCTCTGGGCTATAGACTTGGAATGTGCAGAGGGAATGGCCAGAAACCAGTTGAACCACACTCATGACTGGAGGATAGCTGTCTGTTCTGTGCCAATAGTATTTGAATAGAGTACAGGAATTTATTCCTGACTTGAACCTTTGTTCTTTCCCCTCTGTTTATTGCCACAGCAATTTCGAGCCAGAGGGAGAGGCTGGGGTAGAGGCAGCTACTCTGGTAACAATAACAACAACAGTAACAATGATTTTCAAAAGAGAAACCGGGAAGAGGAATGGGATCCAGAGTACACACCCAAAAGCAAGAAGTATTACTTGGTAGGTATCTGGGGCTAACCATGAAAGGCCACAGGGCTTTAACACACAGAGTAGCTGATTCCTAGGCCCTTGTTGGTCTGTAACCTTGCGATTAAATGTGTCCACCAACATAGAACACAGTAGTGCTAAACTTACATGGCTGTTCTCTAGAGAGGTCAGTCAGTCCTGGTTTCCATAGGGTTTATTATAGATGTTTATAGATTCCAGAAGAAGCAAGCATTGTTGCTCTTGCTTTTTTTTTTTTTTTAAGAGAGAGAATGAATTTTAATATTTATTTTTTAGTTTTCGGCGGACACAACATCTTTGTATGTGCTGCTGAGGATCGAACTCGGGCCGCACACATGCCAGGCGAGCGCGCCACCGCTTGAACCACATCCCCAGCCGCACTCTTGCTTTTTTTAGTCTGTGAATTTTTCTTTACTGCTCAGTCATCCCTAGCTTCTGTCACTCTACAGTGCAAGATTGACAGAAAAATAGTTTATGATCTCTTTGAGGAAAAGAATCTGTCTCCAAAATGAAATGCTTCTCTCATCTAAGCTATTGGTTATATTTCCCTGTTCTTCTGGGCCTCTCTCACCTTGGGCCCTTGCTAGGCAGTGTTATCTGACAGTGAGTGAGCTCTCTTGACCTTCCTCTGTCTCATCAGGCCCATATCCAAGTAGGTATGACTTAGTGTTGTAACCAAGGGAAATTTGCAGTTGGATCTCCATCACCCATCAGAATGGCTGGCATGACCTTGCCCTATCAGTTACACAGCTTGGAAATCAGTTTTTGTGTGGATGGCTGTGCATGGCCATCTTCACATTCCTAGGACTGCTAGGATCCTCAAAGTGGAGCCTAGTCTAAAAGACTTTTGAATCTATTTCTAGGGAAATGTTGGATTGCCTAGGATAAGTGCTAAAGTGTATTGTAAGGGGAAAAAGTAAAAGTCATATGAAATCCCTCTTTCCTGTATACCACCTGCAAGAGCATTTTCAGCCACTGAAACCATCTGTGGACAGAATAGGTTGGTGCTTTAGCTGAGCTGACCTTCAGAGACATCAGGCCTTATAAATAGACTCTTGGAAGTGATAGAGCAAATAAAGTAACAACTTCTGGTTTCAGAATTTTTTTTTAATTAAGCATGCATTTATTTTATTTATTTTTATGTGGTGCTAAACCCAGTGCCTCTCATGTGCTAGGCAAGTGCTCTGCCACTGAGCTACAGCCTCAGCCCTCAGAATGTTTTATTTGTCAACCAGTCAAGCCCAGGGCCTTGCTCATGCTAAGTGCTTCCTTTCTTAGCTAACAACTGGTTCTGACAACATTTCGCATTTTGGTATGATTGACTTTCTCAAACTCAAACTTTTAGAGATGGTGTACTACGTAACTCTACATAATAGAGTTACAGTTCTAAGCCTGTTGTCTCATTGCATAGTGGAGGTGTGATAGTGATAGGGTAGATGGATGTGAAGATTAAGTGAGATAATGCATGTCAACATCTTCAGTGTTTGATGAAGGTTTTGTCATGGTCATCGTCATTATAGTGTTCAAACTGTCTCAGAGAGAATTCCTAAGGCACCCCACTGGCGTTCTCTTGGATCTGAAGAAGTAACATTTTTGTAGCAGTGGGTCAGGGAGAAAAGGATGAAAAGACTAGGTTTGTATTGGGTGGGTGCAGAGGCAAGAGTTCTGGTGCTGATGGCAGTTCTCTTTTCTTTCAGCATGATGACCGTGAAGGTGAAGGCAGTGACAAGTGGGTGAGCCGGGGCCGGGGCCGAGGAGCCTTCCCCCGGGGTCGGGGCCGGTTCATGTTCCGGAAATCCAGTACCAGCCCCAAATGGGCCCATGACAAGTTCAGTGGGGAGGAAGGGGAAATTGAAGATGATGAGAGTGGGACAGAGAACCGAGAAGAAAAGGACAATTTACAGCCCACAACTGAGTAGGGGCCACTTCTGACAGGAGCCCTTGCCCAGGGGAGAGAGGCGCTGGGAAGAGGGCTGGTGAGGAGCTAGATAGAGAGGAGCCGTGAAGATTTTGAAAATCCCACCCCACCTCACCAGCCATGAAGAATCCTCCTACAGCAGAAAGTATCCCTGGCGCAGCGTCCCACTGGACAGAGGAGGCCTCCAGAGCCCTGGGGTCAGGCCCAGCTCTGGAGCAGAACACAACACATTGGGCTTTAGCTGTGTTTCATTTGTTGTTGGTGTGTAGGGTGGGGCTGGGGTCGGGAGGGAGAGCAATGCTTGGATTTTGGTTTGTTCCCTATTAGAAACCCAACAGTTTTGTTCTTAATTCAATTTCATTTGGAGCTGAGAGGACTAATTTGATGATTTGCAGTCTCTTCTCCCTCGTCCTGATTTTGAACGTCTTTTCTTTTTTTCTTTTTTTTTTTTTTTTTTTAGGCATATGTAGTAATATTAGCAGAAAGATTTAATTTGGGCAACTTTTGATTCTTAAAAAGAGAAAACAAAGCATGTGAATAAACATTGAAGTGTTCACCTCAGTTTGGGACCAAACTGCTTGGATCTTTGTAAAAACCTGTTTTGTATGTCAAGGAGGAGTTTAAGGCCTTTCTGATCACCTTGTGTTCCCCTTTTCTGCGCAGCCATGTATCACATGGAGTTGCTTCTAAACCACTCCCCATGCACCCTTGCTCCTATATTTTCTGATTTCTTCTGGGCTGGGCTGGGCTTCCCATTTCCACCAGCAGCTCCAGTATTCCAAACTTTCTAGTCCTGCTGGTCCTCAGCAACGGGTGGAAACTGGAGGGCAGTTTCTGGTCTGTTTTCTAAGAAACTTCTGAATTCTACTATCTTTACAAATATAAGATGAGAAAATAATTTTTTCAATATTTTTTATTAATCTTTTTATAAAATGAAAAGAAACTCCTATGATCGATTAAGGAAGGTGGTTATGGCTGGGTGGTTTGTGGGGTTGTGTGTTTTCTGGGTTTTTTTTTTTTTTTTCCTTTTCTCTTTTTAACCTTAAGCTTTAAGTTGAAACATTGTCAGATATTTGGGGGGAAAACATCCTCTTAAAATGGGTCCTTGTTCTTGCCTTCTGGGGAGGCGGTCCTGAGCAGGTGAATCATATGGCATTTGTGCATATGTTATATGCGGACTGCACCCTCCTCTTCCCCCCAACCTTTGCCTCTTGGGTTATTGTGCTACTTTCCCCTTACTTTGCTACATTTCTATGGTTAAGTTGGTTTTACTTGAATGATTCATGTTTAGGGGAAAAAGAAAAAACACCCTTAAAATTTGTTTCAACTCCTCCTGCAAATAAAAACAATAAATGAAGTGGCAGATGTGCATGGACTGTGTTCATTGTTGCCTGTGTGTGTGTGTTCCTGGGGGTGGTAGATAACCTCCCACAATAGTTTCAGCAAACCTGAAAGAAAAAAGAAGCCTGTGGGGGTTGGACCCAGATTGTGACATTTCTCCACCCAGCAGTAACTCCATATTCCCATCCCGGTGGTTTTGCTTCATCCTGTGCCTTGGACACCTGAAGAACCAGATTTTTTTCCCCCCATTATAGTGTTGAAAGGAAATCAGATGTTGAATATCCAAAGTCCTTTCCTCCTGCAGCTCCTACCAGTGGCTTACCTTAACCTGCCCCAGGAATTGTTCCTCCCTGTAGGGAGTTATAGGCCCTGTTAATTACTGTCTCCTGGGTTATCACCTTCTTGACAGAATCTCCGCTGTCTGGCCCATCCCCCACCCGTTTGCCTCTCACCTTTTGGCCCACGGGTCACATTCGTGGGATGAGGAGAGGAAGGGGCAATGCAGGGTCGGGCAGGTGAACAAAGAAAATCTAAAATATATAACAGGAGCAGGACACTCACGTATTTGGTTACCAACTCTGGGTCCCCTTCTTCCTCCTGAAGGAGTCAGTTTCTATCCTTTAAAGCTTGATTTCTACGTTCCCCGCGGCGTTTCTCCGGTGTTCAGTTTTTATATCTGGGGAGACGGATATGTCACGAGCGAGGACTTAAATATTTGTTTCCTCGGTGGGACAGAATTCAAGGGCTGGGTTAACAACTCGGCCTTCTCACAGTGCAGGAAGATGACTCACAAGGGGCTGGTTTATAGGTGGGCCCAAACCTTTACACTCGGCTCTGGGGCTTGATCGTATGCTTAATAAAAGATGTTCTTGTCTTCCTCAAGGGAGTATCTGGAGTTTTTTCGAAACCCAAATAGAGCCCAGCCCGAAGCATGGGATCTTCCGTTCTCCTTCCATAGGGGGTGGCGGGGAAGAGTGCACCTTGCAGGAAGGCGGAGGTTTGAAATAGGCGAGCTATAAATAAGCTTTCCGGACTGGAGCAGCCTCTCCTCCATCCAGGGTCCGGTTTAGAGTGGTTGCTTTCCGCTGGCGGACTCCACCCTGTTCATGTGCCTCTCCCCATCTTTTGCCCTGCAGCTAAAAGCTTGGGAGCCAGTAGAGGTTGGCCCTGAGAAGGCTGTGTAAAATGCTGGGAGGGAGCTTCCCGGTCAAAGCTAGGAGAAGGACTAGAATTCGCGTGGCCGGGAAAGAGCTGGAGGAGCTGTGACCCATCAGCAGTCTAGAGACCCTGGAGTACTTACTTGGTAGGGGCCGAACCAGCTGAGCCAGGCCGCCCCCTCCCACGCCCACTCTGCATCTGGAGCCCGACCTACGGCTCGCGTCTCCGCCTCCAAGGCTCCAGTCTCGCAGCCCGTCCCACTCTGCCAGTACTCGCCTTCGGGACGGGCTAGGGTCTGGGAGCCCTGGAAGCCATGGGTATGTGCGGAGGGTTTGGGTGGCCTTCTGTACAACCTAAGGGGGACGCTGCACGCCTACATCACCCCCATTCTCCCGCTTGACCTCCACCCCGAGCCTTGGACTCGTTTGGGGGTGCGCCCGCCTGGGCCAGTTTATCTTCCATGAGGCTTTTCTGAGCCGCGCCCTGATCTGCAGAGGTCCTGGTCCTGGCTGAATACCACGCACAGAAGGAGGATGAGCTGAGTTTGGCCCCCGGAGACATCGTCCGGCAGGTGCGCGAGGGGCCAGGAAGGGGCTGGTTGCTGGGAGAGCTGAGGGGCCGTTGTGGCCTCTTCCCCAAGCGCCTGGTGCAGGTGAGGCCGGGTCGGGAGCGGGCTGGGGCGGGGTTGTCGGTGTTTGCCGCCCGAGAACTTAAAGCCAGCCCTCGTCCTCAGGAGATTCCAGTGGCTATGCGGGACGCCGGGGAGACCCGGAGACCGCGCTGCGCGCGCAGCCAAGGTGAGCTCCGGGCGGGTGGGCGGGTGGGCGCGAGCTGCGGGCGCAGCATGGAGGCGGGCGTGGCTCTGGGAGGGGCCGTAGGGCCGATTTGTGGCCTGTGATTGGTTCCAAGGACAATGCTCCACCTGAGGGCGTGGCCAGAAGGTACTAAACGTTGTGCGTGATCCGCCCCCCAGCTCAGCTTACTGGGGCACCCTGCTCAGGCTAACCTCTTCGTGTCCGAACCAGGTCACCCCGCCAAATCTCGGGGCCCTCAAAGATGGTGCAAAGTGAACTTCAACTACAGCCCGGAGCAGGCAGACGAGCTGAAGCTGCAAGCTGGGGAGATTGTCGAAATGATAAAGGAGGTGAGGGAATGAGATAAGAGAGTTTGGGAGAGATGATGGGGCAAGAGTGAGGAAATTTGGGTGAAGTGAGGGTGAGGGCGATGGGAATGATGAGGGGTGCAGAGATGGAAAAGTAAGGGAGCAGGGGCAGGAGCAGGTCCTCCGGCTGAATGGAGGGTGATTTCTAGAGACACTTGGCAGAACCCCTGCATCCTCCCCCCCTCCCCAGATTGAGGACGGCTGGTGGCTGGGGAAGAAGAACGGGCAGCTGGGAGCCTTCCCATCCAACTTTGTGGAGTTGCTGGACAATGGGCCCCCAAGTGAGATCTCACCCTGTGATCAGATTGCAATCTCCAATGACCCTCCTGGTGGCATGAGCCTGTGATCCACACATCCTGACCCTGTAACCCCTTTGGTCCCTTCCCCCGACCTAACTGAATTCTCACCCTCCCTAACTTTATTGTCCCCCACCAGGCCTTGGCAACCCAGACATGTCTTCCATCAGCCCTGGATCCCAGCAGCCTCCCAAGGTAAATTTGCTCAGAATGTGCACAGAGGTGGTGGGTTACTCTTGGAAGGGCAGGAGGCTCATCATTTTCTGCCCCTCTGACCCCACTAGCTGAACAGCCAGGCCTGTAACAGCTCTCCAGAATACCTGCAGACAGGTGAGCTCCCAGCCAGAGCCCCCCTCTCCAAGCCACTCTGACTTGGGGGAGGGGGAACCTCCTAGGCTGATGGAGGAGGGAGCTGCTGACTGAGGGGGGAGAGTTGACTACATCGAACTGACCTTCCCTCAGTCTTTCATCCTGAGATCTGCAGGGTCCTGTTTGACTACCAACCTGAGGCCCCAGATGAATTGGCACTGCGAAAGGGGGACATGGTGAAAGTACTGAAGAAGGTGTGAGAGGAACGGGGAGGGGAGGTCTCAGGGAAGGGGACATTGAGACCCAGGAAAGGAGCCTGGGGGGCAGGGAGGTGGGTGCTCATTTTCCCGCCATGCTGTTTCTTTCTCAGAACACAGAGGATAAGGGCTGGTGGGAAGGAGAGTGTGAAGGCAGAAGAGGCGTTTTCCCAGACAACTTTGTCCTCCCACCACCCCCAGTGAGTACAGAGCTGGACATCCGGGTGGCAGGAGGCAAACTATTTTGACAAAGTTGGGGGTCATGGCACTCAGTGGACACAGAGGGGCATGAAGCTTCCTGAAAAACAGCTAAAGGGTGTGACACTTCCTGGGCCCAACTGGGATGGTTACCCCAAATGAGAGTGGAATAGACCGGTGGGGCTCCTCTTTGATTCTGATGCTGCTCTGTCTAGATCAAGAAGCTGATCCCACGGACAGTGATCTCTCAGGAATCAGGTTGGTGCCTGAGGAGTCTGGGACTGGGGCATGTGCTCTGGGACATCCATCAATCCAAATCCAGAGGCCCAGAAATTCAATTTGCAGTCTCCCAGTGATCCAGTGTACTCCAGAGGAACTTTCTCCCTGTAGGTCAAAGGTCTGGTAGGAATGTATGTGAGTCAATGTGTGGGTCAGTTTATTTATGTTAGTGTGTCAGTGTTTCTCTTTGAATCTTGAGAATGTGGTAATCACAGTCTCTAAGAATGTGTGCTTTGAGTCCATGAGACTCTGTTCATGAGTCTTTTAGGTGTGTCAGTGAATAGCTCTGTGTGGATTTGTACGTGTGTAGGAGTGTGTCTTTTTGTCTTTGAAGTATAATATTTGATACATGCCAAAAATAATACATAACATGTGTGTTATAAAACTTAATAATGAGCACCCCACACACTAGCCCAGGCACTAAAATATTGCCAATAAGTTAGTGTGTTTCTTCTCCTTCCTATTCTACCATTTTTTTCCCACCCCAGAGGTAACCACTATCTTGAATTTTATGTTTGTGATTCTCTTGTTTTTAAGGTTTCATAATAAGTAATATGTCCAAAAGTAAATTTCTTTTTGCTTCTTTTTGAGCTTTATAAAAATGGTAGCATGGAGCTCGGGGTGCTGCTTAGTGGCAGAGTGCTTGCCTAGCATATGTAATACACTGGGTTCGAGCCTAAACACTGCATTTTAAAAAATAAATAAAATAAAGGTATGCTGTCCATCTGCAACTACAAAAAAGTGTTTAAAAAATGGTAGCATATGTTGATAGTGTGTTTTTTTGTTTTGTTTTGTTTGTTTGTTACTAGGGACTGAACCCAGGAGCACTCTATCATTAAGCTACATCTTCAGCCTCCCTTTTTTTTTTTCTAGCTGTTGTTAGGCCTCCATTTTTATTCATTTAATTATATGTAGTGCTGAGAATCATCCCAGTGCCTCACAAATACTAGACAAGTGCTCTGACACTGAGCACAACCTCAGCTTTTTTTCTTTCTTTTTTTAATTTTTAGATAGGGTCTCACTCAGTTGTTTAGGGCCTCCCTAAATTGGTAAGGCTGGCCTTGAACTTGTGATCCTCCTTCTTCAGCCTCCCTAGTTTCTGGGATTATAGGCTTGTGCCATTGTGCCCAGTGACTTGGGTGTTTTCAATTAACATTGTTTCTAATATTCATCCATGTTGTGTGTAGATTGGCATTTTCTTTCTTTTTTTTTAAAATTTTTTTAGTTGTAGTTGAGCACAAAACCTTTATTTTATTTTATTTTTTTTATGTGGTGCTGGGGATTGAACTCGTGCCTCACGCATGCTACCATTGAGCCACAACACTGAGCCACAACTCCAGTCTAGATGTACATTTTCTATAATGTATAATATTCTTTGCAGGGAATTTATCACAGTTTATGTATCTGGTTTCCTGATGTTGGATGTTTTAGTTGTTTCTAGCTTTTTTTTTTTTTTTTTTTTTTTTGTGTGTGTGTGTGTGTGTGTGTGTGTGTTTGTGTGTGTGGTGCTAGGGATTGAGCCCAGAGCCTTGTGCATGGAGTCAGGCATTCCACCAACTGAGCTATATCTACCCAGCCCCTATTTCTAGTTTTTTAAAAAACTATTACAAATGGTGCTGCCATGAATATTCTTTTGCCCATCTTATGGTTTACAGATAAGATAGTTTCTCTGAGGCTGAGTGTGGTGGTGCATGCCTTTAATTCCAGTGGCTTGGGAGGCTATGACAGGAGGATCTCAAGTTCAAAGCCAGCCTCAGCAATTTAGCAAGGCCCTGAGCAACTTGGTGAGGCCCTGTCTCTAAATAAAATATAAAAAAGAGCTGGGGATGTGGCTCAGTAGTTAAATGCTACTGGGTTCAATCCCTGGTACCCCCCCAAAAAAAAAAAAAAAAGTTTCTCTCAGGTATACTCCTAGGAATAAGATTGTTAGGGTTAGAGTTGTGGCTCGGCGGTAGAGTGCTTGCCTAGCATGTGTGAGGCCCTGAGTTGGATCCTCAGCACCACATAAAAATAAATAAAAAACATAAAGGTATTGTGTACAAATCAAAAATAAATATTAAAAAAAGGGAGATTGTTAGATTTTATGGTAAGTAAAGGTTCAGCTTTTGAGGTGACTGGGATTGAACCCAGGGCCTCAAGCAAGTGCTCTGCCACTAAGCCACATCCCCATCCCCTATGAATTTAAACTTTTATGAGATAAAACCAAATTAATTTTCAAAATAATTGTATTCTTTAACACTCCACCGTCAATCAGTATGAAAGATCCTGTGGATCTTCATCCTCTTCCACACTTTGGTGTTATAATATTTTATTATTTTTGTGAATCTGGTAAATCAAAGTAGCATCTCATTATGAACTGGATTTGCATTTCCTTGTTACACATTTAACAATGTGTAAGGGTTCTTTACATATTCTGAATATCAGTTCTTTATGGTATATATATTGCCAGTGTTTTTATCTCAGTTTGTGGCTTGTCTTCATTTTCTACAAAATGTTTACGAACCTAATTCTTCATTATTGTTATTATTATGACGAGCAGTACTACTATTATCAACAGCAGCAGCAGCAGCATTTGTGATGCTAGGGATTGAAACCAGGGCTTTGTGCATATAGACAACTGCTCTTCCACAGAACTATATCCACAGCGCCCTCCCCCCTAAGTTTTTTTTTTTTTTGGTTGGACACAATATCTTTATTTATTTTTATGTG